TGTGTGTGTGTGTGTGTGTGTGTGTGTGTGTGTGTGTGTGTGTGTGTGTGTCTGTCTCTGTCTCTCGGCAGCTCATCTTAACATGCAGGTAAGTCTCTCTCTTCTTCCTCTACCATGTAACTTCGTCTCTACCTCGTTTACTCTCACCCTCAGTCCCCACTCGTCTCCCAGAATGTCTTCCTCTCTCTCTCTCTGTCTCTCATATTACAACTATGGCCATGGTGCCCAGCGCCATTGGCTACACTGCCGCTGCCAACTCAACATCCAGGTAAAGTCTCTCTCTTCCTCTCTCATGTCACACTGTCTCTACCTCGTTTCTCTCTCTCTCTCTCTCTCTCTCTCTGTCTCTCATACTACAACTATGGCTATGGCGCCCAGCACCATTGGCTACACTGCTCTACGCTCACTCTCACTCGCTGCAGCAGCACTTCCGCATTGTATGCGAAGCATCATGTGTTGACAGCCAAGTGTTGCCCGACTTTTGTACTTGCTGATTGGCCTTCGAGACTTCTTCTGCTGGTTATGGGTTGGTGCCCTTGCCTGTGTTTGCTGCTTTTGGAAACTTACGGATTCTCCTTGGATCTGGCTGTTTGTTTGGGCTGACTGACCCTGCTGTAAGGCCTTTGTTATCTTTTGGCTGGAGCTTGTGGTGCCTACCTGAGAATAGATTCTTCCACCCATAACTATTTGGTGCCTACCTGACAATAGACTCGTCAACCCATAACTATACTTATCTACCAGAGACTTCCTACCATGGGCATCTGTAATCAGTGTGAAAAGTACTAAAAACGAAAGCTACTCTTTTTTAGATGTTCGTGGATATTGTACAAGTTCACTGGGTAGTTCCACTAGCGGAACGTGGAATGGGACTTAGAAGAGAGTCGAGTCTCGGTGGACTTGGGATTTGGACTGGAGACTGGGACTTGGGACTGGGACTCGAGGGTGGGATTTGGGACGGGGAATGGACCAAGTTCGCTGGGTAGTTCCGCTAATGGAACATGGCATGGGACTTAGAACTGGGACTCAAGTCGCGGTGGACTTGGGATTTGGACTGGAGACTGGGACTTTGGGGACTGGGACTCGAGGCTGGGACTTGGGATGGGGACTGGACCCGAGTTCTGAGCTTCATGAATTCTTTCAACAAGTTAAAAGCGAATAAAAACAAACCTTTCTAGGTGGGGATTGTCAAGAAATTTCTGTTGACTGACACTCTTTCAGTTTTGTTTGCTCTGCTTCCAGAAGGAGCCTGCTTTGTTTGTCGTTTGCCACAGTCGATCCTGTTGTGAGCTGCGTGCAACACCGAATCGCACAGAGGGTGCTATTCGAGCGGACGGACGGCGGAATGTCTTTCATCCTGGAGTTTGCAGAGGCCTTAATTAGGCAAGGGATGGAGGACCCAGAGGAGCGCGACAAGAAATTCCGTGAGCACATATATGAGATGAAAGACAAGTGTGAAAAAACTAAGGAGCAGTGGAGGCAGCCAGTCAAGCCTTTTGGGTATTGGAACCTTGACAAGAACAACCATAAGTTCTTGCTGGATTTGAAGCTTAGCTCATTGTCTGGGCGCCGAGGAACGTATGACCAGTTTGACCAGAGCGGCAGCTCGTAGACGCTGTGTGCTTTCCTGAGCTTTGCTCCGACTACGCGCCTTTGTTTGTGACGATGCTCAAGATGTCCGCCATGAGGTCTTAGCATACCCACTGCATGCGATGTCTATATCTATTTTCAGACCTGGAGCTGGGGGTGGGATCACGTATGCCCTTTTTTTTTTTTCACTTACCTGATTTGGGTATAAGAGGGATGGTGCTTGCTCTTGTCCTGGAGGCAGTGGATGGAGACGACAAAACCTCACCTGCAATGGGAAAGCATGACCCACTCGAACAGTCTATTAATCTGAATCCTGAATTACATTTGGGGAGGTCCGCCTCCTCTGCCCTCGTCTCTCTTACTGCCTTTCCATTTTGCTCAGCTGTGAATTGCGGAGAGGGCTTTCCTTGTTAGTCATCTGTAACTTCATAAGGTTGGTCATGTGAGGGTCATTCGTGTGTGTTTATTGGGCAGGGTGGGTGAACGATATTGCGAGGGTGATGTTGCTTGCGACTTTTGATATATTTGCGAATGGGCGGCGGTGGATGTGTATAAGGTTTTGAATATCTCTGGTGGAAATTACGTTGTTGTCGTAGAATAGTGGTTTCTTGGATGGGAAAAGAAAAAAAAGAAAAAGGTGTGTAAGGTGTACTAAGGAAGTGACGATGAGACAGGTATATGTGTTATGGGACAAAACTGCTGAAAAGTTGTTTTTCTTGGTTTGCGTTTTTTTTTTCCGCTTTTTTTTGTTTTTAACTTTTTGAAGTTTTTGTGTCTTTTTTTTTTTTTTTTTTCCAAGTGCAGGGAAGTTCTATGTTTTTGAATTTGACAAGCGTGGCAGGGTCGTGCATGCAGGACAACTCTCAAATTCATCATGCCATTCACATAGTAATTGTAAATTCACTTTATTATTGCCCCTGTGACCTGTCAGAGTGTACTGGTTCGGGCAGGGCAGTCAGGTGCATGATCGGTGCTGGGACAGGTGGATGTCTAGGCACGTTATGGCGGGGGCAATCCTGCAAGGAATTTCTGATGTGGATGTCTAGGTACATTATGGCAGGGGCAACCCTAGAAGGAATTTCAGATATGAATCGTGTCACTGGGATTCAATTCCCTATGTGATGCCATTAACAGTCGTCTTTCTTCCAGAATATAAATACATAGTATACACTATAATAGTACGTGTATTATATTATTTATGGCGGGTACGCCTTTTGCAATGCCTTTGCAACAATATGAATCAAGTCACTGGGATTCAATTCCATATGTGATGCCATTCACAGTCATCTTTCTTCCAGAATATAAATACATAGTATACACTATAATAGTAGATGTATTATATTATGTATGGCGGGTACACCTTTTGCAATGGCTTTGCTACAATGTCAATGTCTCCATCCGAAAATCCAGCGTACGTGCGAACGTTACACAGCTCAATCTCATGATCCATTTACTGACCACACAAGGTCGTCGTAAATGCGTAGTCCGTGCTACGAACTTGCACCGTGCGTTGCAACTGCCGGAAGTAGTTGCATTGCACCCCGAGCGTATCCCCTCCCCCTTTACTCTGCCCCTTTCTCGCACTGTACAAGTGGGCCGTTATGGCAGACGGGGATGGGAGCTCAACCTCGTGACCCATTTACTGACCACATCAAGGTCGTACATGCGCATGAGGTAGTCCGTGCTACGAACTTGCACCATGTGTTGCAATTGCCGGAAGTAGTTGCAGTGCACCCTGAGTGTATCCCCTTCCCCTTTACTCTGCCTCTTTCTCAGTGTACAAGTGGGCCGTTATGGCGCACGGGGATGGGAGCAGCTCGCACGCACCTTCGTCAATGCAGCAAGCGTTGTGCGTGAGAGGCATAGTGAAGGGGGAGTTAAAAGAAGAATGATAAGAATGAATGGTTTCAGTTTGCTCTTCATGTTTGTACTGTGGATTTCTATCGTTTGTTTCGCAAAGTGCGCGTTTTTAGTTTGTAGATTTGTGACAATATATATAATTGTTGGCCAGCATCCGGCACACCAGCCTGAGATCCTCACCAATCTCTGTGGTCTGACTGCAACGAATGTCTGTCTTCACATTCTCCACCGCCCGTTTTATACACCGTCAGACTTCCTTGCAATCGCCCTTCAGCTTGATGCTGATCTTCCCCGCCTACAGCCAAAGGATTGTAATTATACCAGGGAAAGAGGCTTTACCATTGCTGTCCTACAAGTTGCAACGAGGGACCGCCAACTTGAACTACGCAATGCTCGAGCAGGTGAGTGGTTTGATCCTCCATCCCACAGCTCTGCCTGCATCATGCATGGACCTGGCCATTGCGTGGCCATTGTGCATGCCTCTGACCACTGGGAGCTGTGGAACAACGGCATCTTGGTCCATGCCATGACTGATATTACTGGTTTCTTATATAATGATGCTGTTTTATTGCCGCACCACGCCGGCCGCGGTCTCTTTTATGTAGAAGATTATTCCTCTGGCCCCGTGCTGCAGCAGGACAATGTATCAACACTCTGCGACCTTCTCCTTTGCACAGTTACAAACACTATTACACTCGGCTGTAGCCACCATTGTCTCTGTCACAAGCACTACAATGACATGGTTTCTGCATCCATGAGTGTAGAGGACTGTTCCTCTCTTCCTGACTGCAGACACCCTCTGCATATGGACACTAATATATGCCGTTTTGCAGCCATGGGCACGATATTGAATGCATGGTCTTCTGTGGTCTTCTTCCTTCATGTTGGCCTGCAATCGACATGGCATTTGACAGGAGTTTATGGTGGGCATGCTCAATGCCAGCCGCCGTAGCAATTGTTCTGCGGGGATACACCCACCTAGGGATAGTGACAGCTCACACGGGTGGAGTTGAGTTGTAACTCACAGGGTCCTATCCTATCATAGGAACTCATGAGAGGTATAGCTGGCGCACTGGGCTGGAGCGGCAAAGCTCCTCTGGTCTTTGAGTTTTCAACTCCTGTGTGCCGCGGTCGAGAGTGTCCCGTTCAGGAACCGATGTGGTCGACTCGTGAATATCGTACTGTTGAAAGGATAGCATGTACTTCCGCTGAGGAGAGAATGACCGATCACGTTGCACATTCCCCCCATTCCTTTCCCCTTTCTTTATGTTTCACAAATCGATGAATTATACGGCTGCTAACCTGAACGGGTAATGTAGAACAGACTACAACACGGCTCTTTTGGATACTCCTTTTTTCCCCCATTGTTCTTTTGAATCTTTTCTCCCCTTTTTTTTTCCCCCTTTTTTTCTCTCCCCCCCTTCCCCCCCCCCTCTCCTTTGGTCACTAAGCGGGGTGGTAAGAGCATCCCCCCCTAGTGCCCTCGTAGGTGCTCCAGTCTATTGGTGGGGAGCAGCACCTGTATCAAACAACAAACAGAATTACAAGTTACAAGTTTGAAGCCCGTCTCGGGCTGCTTCTCACTGAAAACCCTTAAGATTTCTCCTGCTTAACCCCTACTCAACCTACCCTGCCGATGTCTGAAACTAGCCACAGCGTTACCCACTTTGTCCGCCTATTTCTCTGTCTGTGTGTAGGCACACTGGGACCCTCTGGGGAGCACCAGCAGGATACCTCACCTCAGTCTTCTTTCCTTGTCCTGCCGTCCTGCTGTCGGGCGGAGTATGGAGAGGGATGAAAAAGGTGAGAAGGGGAAAAAGGAATAATACAATGTACTGAGAGGTAATAGGAAGTAGAGGGAGCCAAAGGAGCAAAAGGAGCAAAAGGAGCAAAGGGGAAAAGTACGATGCTCAGCTTTTGCCTTACCGGCTCTCAACCAAGGCTAGCGGGTGGGGAGGGAAGGGGTCTCCGAACTCCTGCGCAGGCGTAAGCGGAGTATAGGGGCCAATTTTTGTCCAGTCCCGGTACACCAGATGGTAGTCCCTAGACAGGCCCTCTTGTGTGTTCTGTGCATTTCGCTCATCCCCCCGGTATTTTCTTCACTCATCGTCTGTCCAGTGTACCTCTGCCATCCAACCTTTTCACCTCCCCCCCAGTTAGTCCTCCCCAAACCGGGAGATGATCCGGTCCGCATCTCCCCACGAGTGTACACTGTCCAGTTTCACCTTAGGTGCCTGCCATTGGGCTGAGATCTCGCTTTGGACCAAAAATTTGAATTGCTCAGTTATCTCCCCTTCCTCTACCTTGCCTTTCTCCCCTTCCAAAACGCATCTCCTCCACCATATCACCCAGAGCACCGATCGCCTGCCAATGCGCAAAATATTTCCTATGAAGGTGCTCTCTTGGGTACGGGGTTAGTATCCCAGCAAAATTGCCCTCCAGTCCCATGGCCTGGGCGTGTCCGGTACCATCTGTCGCCAGACCTTGTCCCACCAGCGCCACAGTAGTACCGGCGACGAGGGGCATCGCATAAAGATATGCTCCAGCGTCTCTGCCCGCTTGTGAGATGGGAAATTTTTCAGGCGGCTTCGGCACCACAGCAGTGCCCTCCCTTGCTGTTCCAGCCTGGTGTGGTCAATCAGCCAGTCATTGGTTGGGAGGCAGCGGTGGGCTATCTGCCATTGCAGGGAGGAAATCTTTGCTGGTCGCAGTTTGCACTCCCTGAACCACCTGATCGGTCTCAGGAGGCCTCTATCAACATGGAGTTGGGGCTGCCACCTATCTTCTACGACATCCCGCAGTTTCTTTTTTTGTTCTCAGCAGTCTGTACGTCGTTTTTGCCTTAAGGTGGGCTAGGTCTGCTATCGTCTGGCTTCTCCTGCCTCTTGCGTTAGCTTGGTCCGGCTGGTTTGTTGGGTTCCACCTCCATTCATTAGGGTTGAGGGACAGGTCTGAGATCGGGGTCATTGGTCTGTAGGCCCTCCACCCTCTGGTCTCTTCTAACACTCTGATACGGTAGACCGCCTGTTTTTCTTTCCACAGGAAGGGCTGCTTGTTACCGATTCGCCCCCCATTTCTGTCCATCCCGTACCTCTCGACCAGCACCTCGTCCCGCCCCACCAAGTGTATCCGTCCTATCTGACCCTTTTCACTTGGCAGTCTTACCCAGTCCCCTTCCTCCAACCGCAGTCCTTTCTTCAGGATGGTAAGCCATGCCAGGGGGAAACTCTCAATCATATCTTCTAGCGCTGTTGTGTTTGATGGCAGTACCTTAGCCACCCCCTCATTCTGTCCTGAGTCTTCCAGTTTCATGTCTTGGTGTCCCACAAGTCTTCCACGCGCAGCACCCCGTGTTTTACCCACCCCTTCCATGGGGAATCCGAACTGCACCTTACCTGTCCGCGGGAGTCCGTAAGGGCTGTCTATAAACTTCCTCCCACCTGTCCGGTGCTGGCCTGCAAGGGATTGGAAGTTTTCTCCACGTCCTCAATAGGCGTGACCAAAATTCTTCCGCCGGATCTCCATTTCAGTATTTCCTCGGGATCTTCCAATATCTGTCCTCTAACCAAATCATCGGGTCGAGACAAGTGGTTAACGGTGTGAAAATCCTGAAATTTTGATGAAGTTGACAAGTGGTTAATGGGGACCCCCACTTTTCGGCCCTGGGTAACGATGAATGATCCTGAAATTAGGGTTTCGCGGTCAAATTTTGTGTTTTTTTGGATTTTTTTTTTTGCCTGTTTTTGTTTTAGGACAGGCTTGCTGTGTGTCAAATTTGGTGTCATTTGGGTTATTAGAATTTGTGTTGTTAATCATCCTGAAAATCCGGAAATTTTAGTGAAGT